CGGAGATTGGCTATCAGGATCACATAAGAGCGAGGCAATAGATAAAGTGTACTCTGATCATGCCATAAATACGTGCTGCGTCACCTCCCACCGTCGTCGTCTCTGCGATCCTGAAATGGAGTTATCAATTCCTGCAAATAACAAAGTCGTGAAGTCTAAGTATGAAGATTTGCTACGAAGATCACAGAGAAGCGAGATGGGATATAGACGTACCCTGATATTGGAATGATACCGCAGGTCTCGTCGTCCCTGTGATCTCTGTACAAAATTGTTTGCTTCTGAAATTGTACTTCAACTGTTCTTTCTTCGTAAAAATGGTGAATGGAAATAATCTCGCAGGACCCTTATGTGGAATTGCTTTCGGCCAATTTGATTCGAAATTCAGCCCGTCCTCAGCAGATGTCCGAGATAAAGAGCCTTCTTTTGGTACACGACATATCGTAGTCGATTTTCACATTTTTATCATAATCCCTCCTGACCAGTTCACTCATATTGTAATTCTATCACATATACAGGGCAGTTGGAACTCACATGGATGAAATATATTGATTCAGGGAATCAACCTTTATGAAAACCGTTCGGGATTGTTCTGCACGATCCCAGTGAGAATACATTTAAATAACGTTTTGAATTTTCTGAATGCCCCACTACTGAGCTGCATATCAAAGTTGTTTTTCATCGATGTATATTTTTTATTACAGATTTGTCGAGTTCCTGCGACATAATTTTACGTATGTAGGAAACACGTATCTCAACCACTCAACTTTCTAATAGAGCGAAAAAGGGCATTTTTAAAGGTACACCTCTGTGTACCTAATTCCCTCGAGCAATCCAAAGTGCAGAAAGCTACCAACTATAGACTATAAAATACCTTGTTAGAGAAAATTCAGTATCATGTCTGTTAAATAGGTTGAGATACTCGTAGCCGTTTTTTTATTCGTCTAGACAAAATACATATCTACTTGAAGTAACTCGTCAATATCTAGGTACATCGAATAATGTACGTATCTATTCCATTGAGGTCATTAATTGATCACCCGATATAATTCTCAATATTTTAAAACATATAACCACAACAGCGCAGTATAATTCTAAGCAATATTTGGAAAAATTGTGTCTCGGAGCACAATTAAATCTTTGCAAGCATGAACAATCTTGTACACGTGGCAGAAATGCTATGTTACTTAACTGGGCAGTAGGGGTAGTAATAATAACGTAAATAAGATACCAAGCACGTATTAGGTACATATTAACACTTGTTCTATGTGTTGAGATCTTATCATAAGGTTTCTGCGGTACTTCTTGCTATCAGGAGAAAGAAATAAAAGAGATACACAGTGGGTCCTTTGTTTTCTGTACAAATCTCAAAATTTGCTGAGATTTTAACGGTTTCTCAAGATAAACCATTATTGTAGCATAGAAATATAATCCAACTGAGCTTAACGGAACTAACTACATTAATCGATTTCAAGGATCATGTAATAAGTATGTAAACTTTGCGTAGATTTGAATCAGTCATTTTAAAAACAACTTGAGTCCCTTTTTTCCAACGAGCCGTTTGTACTGGAAACGATTCATAAAAGATAGATGCGTATTCTGGGTATAGTCGAAATCACGAAAGATGACGATTACGTCATACCATAAATTGTAACGAAATAATTACCGGACGTACGTCGATGATAAGGTTACAATGTCAGGAACATGTGATCGAAGTTAGCTGATTTCAGTGATTATTTTTATTTATTCTATTTCATGATTTTAAATTATCATTATCCGTACACAAATTTACATTTTAAGACTTCTATTTGCAATAAAATTACATATTTATTAAAAAAAAAACAGCATTTCCTCTGTTCACAATAATAGTACGTATTTTGAACCTATTTTTCATCTAATATTGTTGAGTCCCTAGAGTTCTTACCAAAATCATAATAATACATTGGTATTAGCTCCATTAAAACGACCAATTGATTCTGAGAACATGGTTTTATTTTATAAAAAAAATACAAACACAAATAAGCATACCAAAGTGAAAACATTTTTGTACTATTTCATGTTATGCCATCCACTATTCATTTTAGCATAAGCTAAAAAATTATATAAAACATCAAATAAAATAAACTGTACATTTCAATATGTTATTCCATTACTTATGGTCAAATTCAGATTAAAAATTAATCGCTACTGTCAGATTCAGTATCGCTATCTGAATCAAATGAGATTATCAGTGGTTCTATTTCACGAGTAATAGTTTTGTTGTACCACTCTAAAATTAAATCATGGGTATGCTTCACACATTTTTTCCAAACCTCTGGTGTAATTTGTGACAGAGCTTCATTCCACATAGCTAAAACATTTTCATCACTATGACCACATCTTCCAATATGTCTATCATAATACTGCTTAGCATTGGCCCATATTAACTCGATGGCATTAAATTCACACTGGTATGGGGGGGGGTACGAAGAACTTCATGTCCATAACTTCTTATGATTTCATCTATTAAATACTTCTTTTTTTTACGATTTCTTTTCACTATGGCTGTCGTTTGTCTTTACTACAGAATAAAATGATGACGAAATCGTCATCTTTCGTGATTTCGACTATATACACCTCGTACGTCAATACATTCCTTCCCCTCAAATAATGCGGCGTAGCCGCCGTTCATTGTAACATAAGTCCCGTCGGGTTATGATCTAATAAAGCTATATAATTTCAAAAAGTCGGTAAAATGTCAACTGGTGTCTAGTTCATTCCGCGCTGGTTGAAAGGTAAAATTTTTTTAAGTGATATGATATTATCTGAGAAGGTAGTCAAAACGAAAGCTACTAATATGTAGATGACTATAATTAAGAAATTTTGTTAATACACATATGAGAAAAGGGAATGCACCATCCAACTTCAGAAGTCATTGAGTACTTTTTAAACAGAGGAGATGAAAATGCCCAACGGTACTAATTGATATCAGCATGACATCCATAACAAATTCTTTCACTATTCAACTACTCCTTACTTATATGTGATGCCATCTGTAAGGTGGTTGTGAAAAATCAGCTTAAGTATCGCCAGCTGCCGTCATCTGCTTTAGCGAAAGGGTGGCTATCTGGTAGTTCGAGGTTTGGAGGGCAGATGGCAGAATAAAAATGGGTAATAGAAATCAATAGAGCTCTTATATGTATGAACTTGCGACCATCATGAAGGTATACAGGGTACATCATACCCAGTAACAGATGTCACTACATTTACCAAAGGAATGTTAGTGTGAAGCGTCTTCCGAAAACTCACCATGGGATCACGCTGAGCCTGCAATTAGATTAGTAGGTTCCTAGTTCCGCTTTAAGCTTTACCTTCCCTGTTTTCACTGAAAAAAAACCTGATTGTTCATTCATTCAAACAATGAGTGTCTATGGAGTGACGCTTTCTGGAGACGTGTCACAACTTAATTACGCCACGTTTATGACATGATCCTTATTTGCTTTTCCCCAGCTGGACAAAATTTAAATGGAGATAACATTTTTTAAATCATCATTCATGTACATGGTTCTCCACAAGCTGAATCGATATCGATTAGATGGGAAATTACTAGGATTAGTTGAAATCTATGTTAGATATAAACTTTTGCTCAACATGTTACGTATGTTTCAAATTCAAACCTCGCCTTTGGGATCTCGGAGACGGTAAAGCTAATGTCAGACGATTTGTATTTACTGTGGTCCGTACCATCAGTGGTTTTCTGGGTAACATTACGCATCAATAATTACTGACGCCCGGGCTACATGGTAGATAAATATCACAAATCACGATAAACATACGACGCGGAGAGCCTACAGGAAATAAAAAATGGAACTTGGACAGTTTGAAAATTCAAAGTACCTATATTCGAATTTACTCTCAGGCGCTTCTATTTTTTCCTAGCTTTAGTCCGATATAAAACTTTTCAAACATAGTCATTGTCAACAAATTTAATACAAATTACTCAATAACATTTCCACGTCTTCTCTTCTACACGGTGGCATGATTAAAATTTCGATCTGACGTTTCAGCTCTCAGTTTTTTAAAATTGTACCGCTTGCATGTATTCATGATTATGCTTAAATAATGTAAGGTACCTAGGCCGAATATGGCCACCTTAAGGTTTCTTAACTTTTTTCTAAAATAATAAAGATAAAAGAAACAAGTCAAAGTAGTTGTCCATGAAGACTGAATATTTAACTTTATGATGAAGGCAGAAAAATACAAAGATATTAAATGATAGAAATATTTTCAACAGTTTGAAAAAAAATGAAATTTGGCCATATTTCCGACGGGGTAGGGCCATATATGTGGCCATATTTACGGTATATATTATTTTAAATAACTTCTAAATAAATGAAATAAAAATGGACATTAGATTTTAATACAACTTTATTTAAAAGATGTTGTTTAGGCGACATCCAGTACATTATCATCGTCGTGGTTAGTCCAGACTGCACCGAGTGCATACAAATTTATCTGTATCTTCTTTTGTTAATCCAACACAGTCCTCATGGACATATGCTTCACATAAAAAGCATATTCTCATGTCTGCTATTCTGTCCTCATTGCAAACATAACAGTACCATGAATCTTTAGATTTTTCAGATTGTCCTTTACCACGTGACTGTTTAGAAACCTTCTTCGGAATTACTGCTTCACTGTTGTTCCTTTTAGCAGAATATTTTCTTTTTTGGTAAGCCACTTTAAATGGGCCTGGTATATTTTCTATTTTTTGTTTAGGAGCATTTGATGGCCCTGACATGTTATTTTTATCTGTAAACATTGATTTTTTTAGCGCCTGTGCGAGACTATTGATAGCTTTTGCCTTCGGAGCAGTTTTTGGGCTTGACGTTTTCTCTGGAGTTTTTAACATTTGACACAAAGATGTATATGACTCATTAAGTGTTGTGGATCAGTCTACGTTTAATTCAGTTTTTGACTCGATATTATTGTTATGTTGCTTTAGTTTGGACTTGGCAGAGGTTCTATAAAGTTCGATATATCTTCTTGATTTGGGTGCTGTGGATGATCATCAGAGGCGTTGTCTGGAGTTGCAGCACAACGCTTTGCTTTGCATTTGATGGATTTGAATTACCTTTGTCTTCATTTGGGAGAGGATAAGGGGAATTTCCACTGGCATCAGTAACGTCGCTTTCATTAGTATCTTCATTTTCCTGAGGAGGAATTAACAGATTTGTAGCGTCGCTGTCGTTAGTATCTCCATTTTCTTGATTTTCAGAAGGAGAAGCTCCAGGTTCTGCGAAATTATGAGTAGGTATGCTGGGAGCGTATACTTCTTCTAGAATCCTATCTGGATTGAATGGGAAAATTCCGGTCGCTTCAAATCCAGCTTTGACATTAGCAGGTGTCGCAGCTTTATCCCACACTTTGGAAAATAGTATCCCAAACCTTTGTTTGGTTATTTTCCTGTCCTCGTGAATAGACCAGTATTTTAAAACTTCTTCATCCCAGTAATATTCAAAAGAACGAAATACTGATTTGTCCATGGGCTGCAATTCATGTGTGGTGTTGCTCGGGAGACAGAAAAGCTTGATGTCGAATTGTTCTGCTGCTTCAACTATCGAATAGTCTAAGTGGCACTTCGCTCCATCCAAGATAAGTAAACAAGGTCCTGGCAATTTAAATTTTGCAAAATGGCGTGTCCAGTTCACAAATGTTTCAGAATTCATACTCCCTTTGGGTGTCATTTGGGCTACTGAACCGGTGGGTAACGAATCTACCCATTCTGGCTTCATTCGTTTGCCCTTAAAGTGTATCATGGGCGGAATGACATGGCCTAAAGCGTTGCCACATGAAACTATTGTTACATTCTCGCCGTGTTCGGGTGCTACCAAATGTACTCTCTTGGATCCACGTTCAGCCAAAACTTCTGGTGATTTGTGCAAATTAAGCTGGCAACCTTTTTCGTCAATATTATAGATACGTTCTGGTTTGTTCATAAGGTCATTTTCTACTAAGATTTTCTTCAATTTACTAAAATAATCGGAAACTACTGCTTTATTCAGCTTTTGTGCCCTTGCGGGGTTTAGGTTCTGTGCTTTTCGTCTACTGATATTCCTATGACGTTTTAAAAATCCTCTCAGCCAATCTCGTCCCACCATCAAGCCTCCACTTGGCGCTGGAATGTTATTTTGATCACAGAATGTCTTCACGCATCTACGAAGTACACGCTGTGTTAATGGATATCCCACATTACACAGACGAATAATACGGGATTCCAAAATCTTTTCATCTTCAGGGTTAAGAAGTGGTTTCCGGCCCAAAGTAGATTTGGTCTCTTTGTTTTCTTGTAAATAACGTATCAGAGTGCGTCTTGGCACATTATAATGCTTGGAAGCCGTATAAATTTTCATTTTACGACTTCTGACTGCAGCTAAAGCTAATTTCATATTAGCATCTGCCCAGTTACTTCGAAGCCCTTTACATTTATAGCGTGCCATGGTCTAAAACAAAAAACAAAAAAACGTGTCAGCAATTCAGTAAGTACTGTTAATATGGCCAAACGGTGGCCATATTTGCAGTCATCCAAATTTTTTGTTTTCATATTCACGAATGAAAAACACACTATTACTTTGATAAATATACAAAGAAATATGAAACTACAATTATTACACAACATCGTAATGTGAATAATAAAGATTTATAATGAAAACAACGTTAAAATACAGGACAATACTTACTTACTGTTTTTATAACCTCAACACTGCTTTTCACTATAATGACGGCTGAGCGGCTAACGCTTGCACGGATGGGTGACAGGTAGGCCGTTCGAATACATGCGACACTAGCGACAATTTAGGGTCGCGTTCAGCTCATAACAAACTTTCGTGTTTGGGAAAACGGTATGTGGCCATATTTACAGGCTGGCCATATTCGACCTAGGTACCTTAAATGAGTTACATTATGATGCTCCTCATTCGATGAGCTTAAAGGTCTATTCACACTCAGCCGTGACGTGACAGTGCCGCGACGTGATAGTGATTCTCGCTGACGTGAGCTCACAGTGTTTTCAAGTCACACCAGTTAGTATTTTTCTCCGTGCTCTGATAGTGAAGTTGTGTTCACGTGAGGTCAAGATGACAAAATTTTCAGAGGATGACCTTCCAGTTATTGCATTAATTCTGGATTGTTTTTAATACTCCAACTACCACGAAGGCTTAACGCCTAAACACCTATGGGTAGCGTGGTGCTATAGGGGGAAACACAGGGGAAGAGGGGACACCACACGGACTCTGGCGAGGGAACATGTGTGCATGCAACATGCACACAGTCTGGCCCCGCCTATGAGATCCGCCGGGTCGTACTACCACCTACGAAAGATGCAGAAGAAGAAATCAGAAGAAGAAATCAGAAGAAGAAATCAGAAGAAGAAATCAGAAGAAGACGGAAGTCCATGTATTTTGAATGTGACCGGTTCTACAGCACGGGATATACGCGTACAAATTCAATTAGTTTTTCATCATTCATGTTTTTGACCAATTAATTCAAAATATTCACGAAATTATATAAAAACATGGCCGTGAAAATCGAAAAAAATCATTCCAAAACAATGCGATGATCACGGTACGGCGTCGTCGAGGGCAACGACACGGGCACTTCCACTTGCGGGTCTAGTGTGAATCAGTTCATCCCTATTCCAGGAAGAATGCTTTTAGTTTCGCCGGACGGATCACGTGCCGGTCACAGCACTGTCACGTCACGTCTGAGTATGAATAGGCCTCAAGCTATAGTTAGGCAGGTGAAGTATAACATCAAAGCGTATGAAATAAATGACTATTAGGTAATTTCAAGGCTTACTCAAGAAAAACTCTGGGAAAATTCGTTCCCTTTTCCGTGTATCTCTGAAAATACTGGAAGCGTCAAAACTTTTCAAATCCATTTTCTAAAATATATAAATATGTACGCAACTGACCCGTATCTCTTACCGTTTCGGAGATCACAATGGTGAGAATATGACAATTTGTTTTAAAATCATTCGAGAATAAGCTAGGTACGTATGCTTCTACATATTCATCATAATATTTTGGATAAAAGACGAAATTTCAAATAATTATAGGACAAAAATGAATACACATCGACAAAGGGAAATTATTTTCGTAGTTAGTATATGTTGTATCCCCGGTTTTATCAAATTAAAAAAATTGAAATTGAAGTGGCACATTAGAATATACTAAAAGATAGTGTTCCATTTAAAAAAAAATGTTTTTGTTGTCATATCGGTATGAATCACCTTGTAGGGAGCGGCATATTCCAAGTGGGAACCATATATTGCACAATTTTTGTAACAAACATTTTTGATTATGTTTTATGGTCATGGAGTCTAATTAGATACTAAGATGTTAATCCCGACAAAGGCTTTAATTTTTGCCTACTACATATTTTACTCTTATGCACTATTCGGCAAAAAATGAAGGATTTTTTCCAATAACCAATTAACTGCTGCAACGAATTGGACATACCCATTTTGAAGGTGACTTTATGTCCTTTGAAGTTTTATAAAAAAGTTACAAGGCATTTTTTTTTCGAGATAACCGGCATTTGCGTTAACTCTGAAGAATACGTATATATAAATCCTATTGTTTAACAGGGTTCACATTTGGCTTGCTTGAATATTTTAAAAACGTAATCATAGTAGTTTTCCAGATCCATATATTTGTCAAGTCGGCGTGGAAGGCTCTATATAAACGAAATGCAAATATACTAAGTGACATATAAATCCGAACACCCAGTTTAAATGGTTTTATTTTAATAAAAGTTGGTGAATGTATCTATCTTACTGTAAATAACAAGTGAAAAAATTTTCAGCCTTAGTTGGACATTCCGGTTTTGATACTGCTTTTTTTTAATTCACTAACGCTCTAAAAACAAATATTTCAGCCGCAGTAAAGAATCAACGTTGGCGGATTTTGGTTTTTGACATCCTTTACGATCGGTTACGATGCCTAGAGTACGGAGACCTGTACGATTTCGTCAACTTAGTGAGTTTGATATGGGCCGTATAGTGGGACTTCGGGAAGCTGGACTTCCTTTTCGGGCAATTGCAGTTAGAGTGCAAAGAAGTGTAGACACTGTGGTTAGGTGTTGTCAGGCATGGCTTCGAGAAGGCCGTACGCAAAGAGCAAGGGACACTGGACGCCGCCGTAGAACAACAGACCGTGAAGATCGCCGCCTAAGATTATTGGCCTTAAGGGACCGTTTCTCCACTACCAGGTCCATTGCAAATGAATGGTTTGCAGAACACGGAAGACCTATTGGCATGCGAAGTGTTTACCGACGAATGAGAAGTTTTGGTTTGTTTTCGTACCGGCCACACTGGGTCCTCCCTTTAACTCGAGAACACCGACGTAATCGCCTTGAGTGGTGCAGACAACGGTCACTCTGGGATCAGGAATGGAACAGTATTGTCTTTAGTGACGAGTCTCGATTTTGTTTAGGCATGCACGATGGTCGTGCCAGGGTTAGAAGGCGACGTGGTGAAAGGAGGAATCCACAGTTTTTTGTTGAAAGACATGTTCATCACACTGTTGGAGTTATGGTTTGGGGTGCTATAGCTTATGGTTCCAGGTCACCTTTAATCTTCATCAGAGGTAACATGAACGCGCAGCGTTATATCCACGAAGTTCTAGAACCCCATCTTTTACCCTATCTTGACGCCCTGGCAGATCCAACTTTCTAACAAGATAATGCCCGACCACATGTTGCAAGAGTCACAATAGGCTTCTTTCAACATAATGATGTCACATTGTTACCATGGCCACCAAGATCTCCCGACCTATCCCCAATTGAGCACGTGTGGGATATGATGGGTAGGAGATTGCTTAATTTGCAACGTCCTCCTCAGAGTCTAGAAGCACTTCGAGAGGAGTTAGTGGTTGCCTGGAATGAGATACCACAGGAGGACATTGACCACCTGATCATTTTGAAATTTTTATCATTTACTTATTATGCTTCATTAAGTACTTATACAAAATTTTATTAAAATAAAACCATTTAAACTGGGTGTTCGGATTTATATGTCACTTAGTATAGTAAAGTAGTTATGATTTATGTAACTTACACCAAAAAATTTTTTGAAGGTGACCCCTTTTCCGTTTTGACCTTGGTTTGCCCTTGCTGCAAACAGTACTTATATCTAGAGGAGACACAAGCATCAAAATATATAAGATTTTACTAGGATGTATGAGTGATCAATTCTTCCATCCCAATGTAGATAGTTTTAATCATTGCCGAAGAGATAGCCGGCGCATCTGAGTCTGCAAAACAAACATCTCTCCAAGGAAAGGTGGAGAAAATGTCCAGGTCCTTCTCAGTCAGCATTTTGCGGCCAGGGAGTTCTGCTGCCGCAGTCAGTTCTGACTGAACCTGACCTCCAGAACTTCGAATCAGTACAGAGCCGCATTTATTTTCGAGTTAATACGTATTTATACCCAGTTTAACAAAGTTGTGACGCAACAAAGAAATGGTCAAGCCTCTCGAATCCTGAAAGCCGGCTCCTACTTCACTAAATCTCACACACCACTTAGGTGGATAACGCCGAGCCAATGTTCTCATTCATACAGCCCGTGATTGCTGTGTTTTAATCGTATACACGTAAATGTGAGAGACTTCCTTAATGATTTTATTCAATATGTGAATATGCATGCAACGTTTATTTGGTCTAGATCAGTAGTCGCCAACCCGTCGATCGCGAGCTAGCGGTATTTCGCAAAGGCAATTCTGGTGGCACACAACATATTTTAAAAAGGTGTTAAACTCATAGAAGGTTCCGTAAATTTGCGGAGCGATCTGTGCACTCAGTTTAAAACTGAACAGCGCAAAGTCCAGCGGTTGGGTTAGAAATGGCCTGCAATTAAAAACATTATGAGCAGTAGTAACAGGATGAAGACATACCATTTCCAGTCGGAATGGGAAGAACAATATTTCTTTACAGAAGTTAAAGGTAAAAATGTATATTTGTCATGTAATGCTAAAAAAGTGAATATCGAGAGACACCATAAAACTGTACGTTCGAATTTTGAAAAATCATTCCCATTACGTTCTACAACCAGAACGGAAAAAACCGGAACGATTAAAAAATAAGTTAATAGGACAACAGACAATGTTTTTAAAACCAATCGACCAAAGTCAGGCTGCAACTGAAGCATCAAACCGGGTCTGCCAGATAATTACACAAAAGAAGAAACCTTATGAAGACGGCTAAATGATATAACAGGCGTTTTTAGAAGCTGCAGATTCATTATTTGCCAATTCTACTGGGAAGGTTTTGTTTTCTTCTTTTAAAAATATCAAATATCAAATATCGAAAATGGTAGGCTTAACAACCTATGGCGCTCCAGCTATGGTGGGTCGTGATAAGGGTCTCGTGGGGTCATGTCGTAAAGATGAAAGTTTTCAGCATTTTCGACGTTATGAAATCGGTAGTTAAAATTGTGAACAAGATTAG